TTATGGGGAGCGGCTGAGGGAACTGGGGTTGTTTAGGCTGGAGAAAAGGACAGGGAGACCTCAGGGGAGACCTTGTCTCTTCCCAAATAACAAGTGATAGAACAAGAGAAAATGGCCTCAAGTTACATTGGGGGGGTATGTGTGTTAATTGGATATTAGGAAAAATTTCTTCACCGAAAGGGTTGTCAAGCTTTGGAATAGGCTGCTCAGGGAAATGATTAAGCCACCATCCCTGGAGGTATTTAAAAGACCTGTAGATGTGGTGCTTAGGGACATGGTTTAGTGGTGGACTTGGCAGTGTTAGGCTTACAGTTGGACTTGGTGAAGAAGGTCAAGAAAAATGCACTTCTTCAAGGACCTGTGATAGCAGTGAATACCACTTGTATTTACCAAATGCAGAAAGAACATTTACTGACAGCAGGGGCTCTGCTTCTGCTAATACTTTTTTTGACAGTATAAAAAACGCTTCCTGACTTCTATCATAAAGGCTTCAGTCAGCTCATTATCAGTTTTCAAAAGGGGGGGGGAAAAAAAAAGGCAATATGCTGGCCTGTATTTCTTCATGAAAATAAATTGAGTGATCCTTTCATCTCAGGTTTTTCAGATCAACTTCTCTGACTTCTCATGTTGTGTGAAAATAATTTGAGGGAGCAAAATATATAAATAAATTTTGACTTAATGTGTTTTATTTGTGAAATATGTGTGCTTTACATATTTGAATATAGAAATTGTATAAGTTGCGTGCTTTTTAAGACATACTAATACCAAAAAAAGAAACAACGCCAAATAAAGAGTGTAGTCAGGAGTAAGGACCCCTGTGGCCATGTTCTCTGAAGCTCTAAGCTGCCATTGGCTGGTGGTTCATTGGTTTGCGTGCAGATCACCAAAACCTAAATTTTCAATTGTCATTTAATTTGGAGTGTATTAACATCTAGTTGCCTAAACAGATAAGCAAGTCAGACTTGTCCCAAAGATGGGTATCAGGAAGGGCTGGGAATGAGAAAAAACTGCTGTCTCCTGAACTCAGATTGTACTATGAGGTGCAAATGAGAACAGTAGGGCTCTTCATATTTTCCTTTAACTTGAACAGCTCTATAAAAAAGCCACAGGAGCCGTGATCACTAGGACACAAGGATACGAGTTCTCTGACCAGTCCTCACCCTTGTGGCCAAAATGTGGTTCTGCTGGGGCTGTTGTGGAAGCAGGACAGAGCAAAGGAAACAAACAGTTTACCTGTCACAAGGCCTTCTTCATCAGATTATTTTAAAAGAGGATTTTATACTTGCTCACATGGGTCAAGTTTGCATCAAGGATAGCACTGAGCAAGTATTCAGCAAGTGTACTTAACATGTGCTGAGTAGTGGTAGTACAGCAGTAACAAAGTAGAAACAAAAGGATCAGTAGATGCAGTGAAACCAAAATGTCATAATGTTTAGCAGAAACTTCCTGATGTGACTAATCCAGGAAATTCATGGGGCAAGTCTTAGTAAATATCAGCTGAATATATTTTTATGTAATTAATGTTCTATCAGGTGATCCTAACCATTAACAGGAGCCTGTTTTAAAAAAACCACAAGGAAATACACCAGTAGGATAAGGAAGGTGTCATGTAATGGAATATAATTGGAGTGTAATTTTTATTTCATTAAATGTGAAGCTCTGCCCCCGCTGGTGGCTCTGGACTGGCTTGGTACGTGCTCCACGGGGGAGGATGCTGCTGAAGCCTTCAGACAGTATGTTGTTGAACATTCCACTCCATTTCTGCAATGCTAAAAATAGTTGTCCTCATTTTAAAACACCGGGCTATTAGATTATTCCAAGGGTCTGGCATACTCAGGCTAATGGAAGGCATGTATCCATAAATTATCTAAACATTAAGTAGTGTTTGACCATGCTGATTCTACTTCTATTAAGATGAGTTTACTTGCTAGTAACCCTGGAGTACCAAGCCTATTCTGTAAATCAAGCTCCTGACAGTGCCCCAGTAAAATTAAAAATAAAAGGAAAAAAGTTAGTATTTCATATTGAGGATGAAGAAACATATGACTGCTTCTTTGTTGTTTTGGGTTTTCTTTACATTTTACAAAACCATATCTACAAAATGCTTAAAGTACTTTACAGTAATTGTTTCTCTTTCCCAGCCTTAAAGAGAATCTCACAAAGTTCCTGCATGTTTGCTATTATAAATCATGTTAATGCCTAAAATGTTCTAAATAGCAAAATGCATTCCAAGTGATTGATATACAAGTTTCTCTTTATTCTTTTTTTTTTTTTCTTTTTAGTGATTAGATAATGTGACAGCTAATCCATTTTTTGGCACCATATTGATGGTTTTGCAAGTAACCAAACCACTTAATAACTTATAAGTTAAGATAGCCTCTCCTTTTATTTTGTTACTATTTTTTAATGTTTAAATCTCTTCTTTGGGGGGAAAATTATCTAAATGTAGAAGTCAAGGTATAAAAATCTGCAGTACTGTGTCCATCTCTGAGGTCCTCAGTATAAGAAGGACATGGACCTGCTTGAGTGAGTCCAGAGGAGGCCCATGAGGATGATCAGAGGGCTGGAGCACCTCCCCTACAAGGACAGACTGAGAGAGTTGGCGTTGTTCAGCCTGGAGAAGAGAAGGCTCAGGGGAGACCTTATAGTAGCCTTCCAGTACCTAAAGGGGTTTACAGGAAAGATGGGGAGGGACTTTATCGGGGAGTGTAGTGACAGGACAAGGGGTAACAGTTTTAAACTGAAAGAGAGTAGATTTACATTAGATGTAAGGAGGAAATTCTTCACTGTGATGGTGATGAGGCACTGGCACAGGTTTCCCAGAGAAGCTGTGGCTGCCCCCTCCCTGGCAGTGTTCAAGGCCAGGCTGGACGGGGCTTTGAGCAACCTGGGCTAGTGGGAGGTGTCCCTGCCCATGGCAGGGGGTTGGAACTAGGTGATCTTTAAGGTCCTTTACAACCCAAACCATTCTGCAATTTTCTGATTCTATAACATTAATTAGTTTAGATTTAACAAGAATTAGTACAAATTTATAAGTTTATTTTTGCACTGTTATGTTGAAGGGATAATCATTTGTAGAACAGTGATTAAACAGTGCAAGGCAAAACGTCTATGCCTTGGCTCTACAAAAAAAAAAAGCCAACCTGTAAATGTGGGGTTTTTTTCTAATTTACAGTGATCTAATATAGCAGGAAGATGAAATATTATCTGGTAACTTGTACTGATTAATTAGAATTTTTCCTCAGCACGCTAGCATCTATTTTTACAGAGGGGAGCTGGAAGGAAGATGTTGGAAACTGTGCCATGAGTGGAGTTAGAAAAATGCTATTTTAACAAACTATTTTAAGCTTTATTTTAATTGTTGTTTATCATGAGTGCTTTGTATTTATGTGCTTAATTAATTGTATCATTTTGATGAGTAATTGTTCTTTTATTGGCTCTGTTGTTACTAGAGATTGGAGTTCTTCCTTTGTCTCTGTTCTGGTTTTTGCGTCTGAGAGGCATTTCTCTTCTGCTTGGCTTGGAATCAAACTAGTGAAGTTTCAAAACTTTCTTTTGTTGCTGAATCCTGGCTTGTCTAGAAAACTGAATTGGATGGTGTGCAAGTTACCAGGGCAAACTTCTGTCAAGGAATTAAGACCCATGAATGCAATGAGAAAGCATTTGATTTTAGATTCCTTTAATATGTCTTCTAAACTCCCACTTGAAGGCATATGAGCATGGATGAACTCTTCTAACAGAACTTAAATCAATAACTTTAGATTTATTGAGACCAAAATTAATGTACTTTACGGTGGCATATTTCATGAATCTGTAAAGGGGGGGTGGTTCTTAACTTCGTGTGGCAGAGCCTGGTTCTTACTAGGTCTACAGTTGTTTAACATGCTTTGCTAAGAGGGAACCATTGCAATATTTTGTATTTTAATTCTAAGTTTTGCAAGTAACCAATTGATACTACATTTTAAACTATAGCTTTTCCTTGGAAAACCCTATATTAAATGTGGAATTGTCTTTATCTTTCAACTCAGAGATACTGATTTATTTATTTTCTTTTGCTTAACTAGTCCTTATTCAGATATTGAACATGAAGTTTACCATATTACTTAGCTTGGATAATTACCTTTTAAAAACATTTTTGATTAACAAGGTGCTTTTTTGTACTTGTGCTCAGTTGCTGAGCTTTTAAGCATCTGGTTTCTTGAATGGAATTTACAAACCTCAATCAGATTCTTAATATTCATAGACAGTGCACGGATAGGGTAATTTGGGGGGCAGTCAGTGACTGTCAACTGTACAGCTGACTTACTTTTCTCTTTTAAAAATGGGGTAGAAGAGGTAAGAATTTAACAACATATACAGGACATGCACTTACAAAGTAGGAGAAAGATTTTTGTCTGCCTGGTTGTACAGGATCAAGATTTGCATTTCCTCCTGCAGAGTAGGCTGGACATCCCCCTAGAGATAGGGAAAGATCTGAAACTCCCCTTTGAGCAGAGCCTAGAAAACAGCAGTTAGCTTCATACGTACAACTCCCTGTAGAGCCCAGTGGTTTAAGCGTAGGTCCCTGCGGACTCAAGCACCTAATAGGTACTAGGGAGAGAGTGGAAGCTGTAGCACCCTTCTTGAGATTTTAGGTGCTTGGGTAGTATGCAACTGTCTTCTGAAGTAGTTTTTCTGAATTGGGGCCTGAAATAAAACTTAAGAAAGATTTTTCATGTGATCCAGACTCTCAAATACTATTTTTGTTGTCCAATTATCTGAAGCAATACAGCTATATCTGCTGCATAGATAATCTGTAATTGTTAATTGCCTAATATTTTGAAAGTGAAATGTGTTTTAACCAAATACAAGTCAACAGACATAAACAACCCTAGAAATCTGTTCAGCTATTCTGTAGAAAAGTAACAAGAAGCAATACCTGTCCAGATGTCTTTTTCTCTTAATGGAGCTCAGTCATGAGTTAGGTCTGTAAAATGATGGCTATGTACATTTTGTTTCAGGGGGAAGCTGGCTTAGTAGGTGCTCCTGGCATACCTGGTCTTACTGGTTCCAAGGTAAAAAAACAAAACCAAAAAAACCCAGAAAAACTCCAAAAAAACCCACAAAGAAAACCTAGTCTCATTTTATGCATTTTCACTCTCAACATCCTCTTTGCTAGCTGTCCAGTATCTACATAAATTGTATTTGAATTATATATCTAGTTTCCGAGTTTTATAATGTGACAGAGGAACTTTACTATCAGCTTCTCTTTCGATCGAGAAAGGGCATGTGATGCAGTGGCACAACCCTGCCTATCAGCATTGTTTTACATTAAGAGTAGTCACCTCAGTCTCAAAACTGTGCAGGTCTTTCCAGCCACAAGATAGCAAATTCAAAAATTTGAAATTTGAGAGTCTCTTCATCTCAGCAAAATGAGATGAGGGACTGCACTGCTTCTTTCACTCTTCCCTTTCAAATCTTCTGCTTCTATCCAGAGGTGGAATATTGTAGGAATGCCAAAACTTGCAAAAACAGGCGTCTGTATTATAGACCTTGTTGGTCATATTTGTTAAAGCTTCCTGACTCCTTTCATCATCAGATTTTGTTTTCTGTTGATTGCAGCTATGTTTAACCGTAAGTATTTGGAATGAAATCTTAATGGCACATGCATCTTGTCCAGCTAATTCGTTTTAGAAAAACGTAGGGGAAATAATTCTGCTAGTTCCACAAATTAAGGGACTAAAAAAAAAAAAAAAAAAAAAAAATTTCTTCATATTAAAATTTCAAGAAAGTGTTCTGCAGTGTGACCTTGATGCAAAGGGCTGATCTGTGTATCTTTAGGGCAGATACTTCGTGTAATATGGCACGAATGGAAGGAAGGAACCTACTCTCTGCAGATGAGGTAGCCAGCATTGAGTTCCATAACATGCTTATCACAATCTATCTTTTTATATATTCAAAGTCAGGATCTCATTGACTTATACTGTAGGCATATTTAAAACTTTGAAAATCAGATCAGCAATCCTGCCGTGAGTATCAAGACAAGTAATCAGTGATTGTCCATGAAAAAACTTGTGTGAAATGTTTTGCCTAACTTAATATGAGAATTCTGCCACAGAAGGTAGAATTTAAGTCAGTCATAAATGTGTTACTTTGCAATTTTCACATTTTTATTTCTGCAACATTTGAATTCTTTGAAGTAACTTCCTAATGGCTAATACTGTTATATTTTTAATGCTGTCAAGTGGAAATTACCTAAACTTCTTTCTCTGTACTTTCTGTTGACTGTATTTCTTATTTTGTCTAATTGGAAATATTTTTTAAAAATTAAAATACATGCAAAAAATCTGGACACTTAAACTATATTTCTGAAAAAGAAGGAATTAGTTCATCACCCCATACATAAATACAGGCAGAGAACTGACTGGTTGAGCAGTAACAGTGCTGAAAAGGACCTGGAGGTAGTCATGAGGCTGAATTATGAACTAACAGTGTTCTGTTGGGAATAAAGTGAACCACATTAGTAAAACTGCAGCTGGAAGATCAGGAGAAGATATTTCCACCCCTTTGCTCAGTGGTGTTACATCTGGTATGCTGTGTCATGTTTGGGAGGTCTGCTGCCTTCACTTCTTCAAGAGATGTGGATAAACCAGAGAGGATCCAGCAGGGATAGTGTATGTTCAGGGGCCTAGAAAACAAAACCTTTGAGGACAATTTCAAGAAGCTAAGTTTGTTGAGTCTGACAAAGAGGAAGCAAAGAAGCAATCAAGTCTGTCCTGCAGGCATAAGGAGCCCATCTGGTTGATCTTCAAGGACAGCTTCCTAAAATCCCAAGAACAGTCCATGCTGATGTGCAGGGAATTGAGTGAGTATGGCATAAGGCCAACATGGTTGAACAAGGAGCTCATGACTGAGCTCAGACACAAAAAGAAAGTAAACGGTGGAAGCAGGGGAGAGCTACCCAGTAGGAATATAGAAACATTGCCAAAGCATGTGGTGATGGAGTTAGAAAACCAAAAACTCATCTGAAATTGAAATTAATGAAGGATTTGAAGGGCAGCATGGAGGGCTTCTGTTAAGTGCTTCTCTAGCAAAAAGAAGGCTGAAGAAAATGTTGACCCACTGCTTAATGGGTGGGGGACATGGAAAAGGCCGAGAGTACCTGATACTTTTTTTTTTTGCCTTGGTTTTCACTAATAAAGTTTGCCCTTAGGCCTCGCAGGTTACTTAAGCCTCCTAGCGCAGGATGTGAGAATGAACCCTTGCCCACTGAAGGGGAAAAGAGTGTTAAGGAGCACTTAAGCTGCTTGGACATTTGCAAGATACCAAACAATATGCATCCAGGGGTGTTATGCATCCATCAGAACTGGCTGATGTCACTGCAAGGTTGCCCTCTTTCACTATGACTGGAAACAGGCAAACATCACATTTGTCTTCAAGAAAGATCCAGGGAACTGCAGGCCAGTTAGCCTGACCTCTGTCTCTGGAAAAATAATATAGCAAATCCTGGAAGGCATTTCTAAACACATGAAGGATTAGGTGACTGGGAATGGCCAGTTTGGATTCACTGAGGACAGATTGTGCCTGATCAGTGTGATTGCCTACCCTGATAAGATGACTGTGTGGATTAGGAGACAGCAGTGTATGTGTATACCTTGACTTCAGCCAGGCTTTTGGCACAGACTCCAGCCATATCATTGTAGTCAAAGCTGTGAGATATAGACTGGATAAATGGACAATACAGTGGATGAAAGATTGGTTGAATTGTTGGGCTCAGAGGTGGAATAACTGCTATACAGTCCAACTGCTACCTCGTAACTAGTGTCAGCTGCCTTGGGTGATACTGGGGCCAGTATTATTTAGTGTCTTTATTAATAACCTGGATGATGGGATTCTCAGCAAGTTCTTGGATGTTACTAAATGTGGGGAAGTTAAGCAAGAATGGTATTCAGTGGGACCGCAACATGCTGGAGAAATGAGCTAATACACAACTGACGAAGTTAAACAAAGGCAGACATGAAGTCTGCCTCTGAGAAGGAATAGCCTCATGCAACAGTACAGGCTAGGTGCCAAATTGCTAGAAATCAGATGTACAGAAAAGGAGTTGGGGGTCCTGCTAGCTGTCCTTGTGGTGGAGAAGGCCAACTGCATCTTGGGCTGCTTCAGCAAGAGAATGTCCAGCAGATGAGGAGTGATTGGCACTTGTGAGACCACATCTGAAGTTCTGTGTTGAGTTTTGAGCAACCCAGGAGAGGAGAAAAAACAGCTCACTGGGGCAAACCCAGTAGAGGCCCACCAAGATGGTCAGGGCATGAAGCCCATGATATAAATAAGAGGGAAGGCTGAGGGACTTGGGCTTGCTCAGCCTTAAAATGAAATGGTTTGGAAAGGGGAAGGATGGAGGGTGGTGTGCAGACTCATTGCTGCCTATATGTTACTGGGAGCGTGTGGAGGAGCCAGAGGCAGACTCTTGTCAGAGTTGTACAGTAAAAGAATAAGAGACAATGGACACAAGCTACAATGAGAGAAATTTTTATTCTATCTAAGAATAATTTTATTTAATGAATTGGGAATTGAGTAAAGACAGGATATGCAGTCTCACAAATGGCAAAGCTAGGTGAAGAAAACACTTCTCTTGTAAGAATTTGCCAAAAGTGAATAAGTGTTTGCTGTGTTGCATGTCCAACAGTTGGAGAAGAATGGGAATCATAGAACAACTCAGGTTGGAAGGCACGTCAAAAGATCATCTGGTTCAGCCTTTCGTGAGAAAGGAAAAAAAGATGAGCAGAACAGAAATTGCATAGATTCGGTATTTATTTTAGTCATTAACCAGTCATTTTTAGGTGAGGATATACAGAAGGTTATTTCACTAGATCCTATTTTGCATGCTTGGTCTTGGGCATACTTCTAAAATTGCTCCCTAAGCTGTTGATTTCATGAGCCACCCCAGCCAAAAGAAACAAACAAAAGGCAGCCACTGTAGGTGTTTGATGAAAAATCCAGAACTATTTGATAGTCTGTACATCTGCACATCTCCAGAGCTTTGAATTTAGTTCCCAGATGTGTAGTACATCTATATCAGCTATATCAGTTGAAAGATTTGACAAAATGCTGATAGGAATTTTACAAGTTGTAGCCTGCTGTTCTAGTTAACCTCACTTAAACCTTAGACTTCTATATAAAGGAACAACACTCTCTGAAGGGTGAAAGCATGCTTAGACATTGCTCATTCTAATTTTTAGAAAGTAAGTTTAAAAATACCCTATGCTTTACTTTGGAAATTTTCCTGTCTTTTCTTCTTCAGACCTGTAAAAAACACATGTACTGTACTGAGGCAGTGTGACTGGATTCTAGAGACTGGGAATAAAAAGCAAATGTTTGGGGTTTGGTTTTTTTTTTTTTAATTAGGTGGGTTTTGTGCTACAAGTATATCATTTTGGCTGTATGTCTGCTGTATGTGTCACAAAACATACAAGTATACATTAATAAAGATCTAAAGCAGGTGTTATACTTGTTATAGCCAGACCACACACTATTTGGCAAAGATTAACATTGATATTAACAGGATTGTACATGAAGATTTTTTTCTGAGCTAAAAATTATCAAATTTGAGCTGGAGGAGCATTGGTAACAGGTCTTTTTATTGAAAGATCATCAAATAAAGAATTCAATTTGCTGAAATAAGCTGAGCTTGACTTAATATTTCAAAACTCACTCCTGATTTTGGGTTTTTTTAATACTTGGGTAATTGGATGTGGTTTTCAAAGTGAAAAGAATAAGTTTTCAGTAAATTGTATCTGTATATTTTTCTCAACTGTTCTGGGTTTTGGAGGCCTTCACAGTGACTAGTCGTTTAAAAATTAAAATGAAGGTATTCATCGGAACAAATGTATTAAAACTGGTTCTGCAGAACAGCAGCAGGACTGTAATGAGTGTATTTAACATCAATGAATAGTTCAGAATTTTTAGAGCCAAAAAAAATCCCTTAGGCTGAATGGAAAAATGGTTGAGTACTGTTAATCGACAAAATTGGGGAAAGAAGTGTCTCTTTTTGTAGAGGTTTCACACCTTTTTGAATGAGAGACAGTCAGTTTCCAAATGATTTCATCTGTTTTAATCCCATAGTAAAAATTCAGTGCAATAAAAGTATTTTAAAGAATGCAATTATTTGAAGAATGTTTATGTTTCAGATTTTTATTTTATTGTTTTATGTTCCAGGGTGAACGTGGTTTTGCAGGTAGTAAAGGTGAAGAAGGTGCAAAGGTAAATTATTCTGTCGATGTTAGTTACTTTTTCAGTTTAACAATTTGATATGTGGCTAACCAAGTAGAGCTTTGTCCTGAAGATCTGCCTTAACTCTTTCATGAATAACTTTTTTTTTTCCTGTGTAAATAATTCCTGAAATGCTTAAGAACAAAGAGACTTTTATGCTTGTTAATTAGTTCTTCTTTTAGAAACACTTTTTTTTAAAGAAAAGATTTAATAATGAATTCTAACAAAACTGTAAACGCTGGACTCCAGTAGTGTTTACTGCTATCTTATTTCTATGGTAACTAGTAAATGTTTATTTATACAATAAGAAATGTATGATGAAATTATGTGTAGGTATTTATAGGACTTAATCATTGCTTTTCTGTATTAAAAATGCACTTTTATAGGAACTTACTATGTTGATCATAACTACTAAATGTTTTACATACTTTTTTTCTAAGAACATAAATTTACTGCAGTAGCAAAATTTAAAATTTGCTACAGCATAAATGACCACCAATTTAAAAAAGGTTAATTTTCATTTATATATTTCTGTGTACATACACAGTAGTTAACATGGGTTTTGTCTCCTGCACGCATCTGACTCACAGTGAATGGACTTGACTGCAAGTGGCCAAGCTAAACCAAGTGCATCTACCTTTTCCTCAGACTGCAAATTCAGTCTCTGCCTGTTGGACTGACATGTTGCCCTAAGGACATTCGTAGTCTCGTGACAGCCATAAAATGTTTCCAAGTGTAAATTCCTGGAGAAGCTCTTCCTTGTTCTTCACTAGTGGGTATCGGATATGGAGCTTGAGGGAGTTTGTCCTATTTACAGATGATCCTCAGTGGCCAGAAACAGTTTGAAAGCTTGTGCATTAAAATGAGAACTACACTGTCCCTGTGGAAGTCTGTCTTGGCTGACAGAATGCCAGCCCTGAGTCACTCAACCTAATCTTCTTGTGTGGCTTCAGTCAACTAGGTCTTCACAGGTCACCAAAGCCAAGTCTCTGTTGAGGGACAAGTGCAAGTAAGAGACTGTTCTTAGCTTATCTAATAGGAATTAAAGTAACAGTGGTGATAGTTTATGGTTGAATCTTCAGCTTCTAATCATGTTACTGCCAAGTTACTGCTTTTGCACTAGTTGTTTTGGATTAGTTAATTTGGGTTAGGCAATCTGAATAGTCTTTTCTTGGATCATAGAGTTCTTCATAGAAGTGTGCTTCAGCTCACTGTCAGAAAAAAAGGTGCAGAAAAGCATTTCTGCTAAATTTATGTATCATAAAGATGAAGAACGACAGATACTGCTATTCTGACAATATTCAGACTGAAGAAAATGAAAAGTAGATGACAGCATCTGAATTTTAAAAAGTGGAATATATTTGTGAGTTAGGCTGCTTTGGACATGGGTATATTCACTCACCCACCATACCTCTTCAAAAGTGTCAGACAGCTTTCCAGTGTTCCTATTTTAAAGAAAGCATGTTATGAATTAACAGAACTTAAGCAGATTTTAAATTGTGGAGGTTGTTTTAGGAGGAAGTATTCTAGTAACCAGGAAGGACAAAGTATTGGAAGTACAAGCCAGCATCCATAGCAACTAACATTTATAATGTGAAGATTCAGCCTCTAAAAAAAAGCATTTGTTAAACTTGAGTGCTTCTGACTCTACCAACAGATTTTATTTCCTTCTTGGTGGCATCGTTACTCATCAGTTCTGAAGGGCTTGTGGATTTTTTTTTTTTCTTTTTTTTTTCAGAATTGCTCTGCAGCTGTGCTATGCTTTCCTCAGGGTTTATAAATAAATTGTGTTTGGACACAGGCACGTGGTTTCAGCTGTTGCTGCCACTCTTTTTGCTTGATTTTCCTTATTTTAATGCAGAGGTAAAAATGACACAGCCACTGGTAATTACATTTTTTTTTTTTTTTTTTTTTTTTGGTCTTGTAATTTCAGAAGTTAATTAAAAGATCCCATTTAAAAGTATTTCCAGTGTAACTGTTAACAGTGTATTCATCTGCCCTTCAAATAAAGGGAAATATATGAGTGGAAGGATCTTTAATTATCAGCTATCACTCAAAACTAATTTGGGACAGTCTCATCAGAAGATACACATCATGATTCGTGAGGAAAGCGTGTGTTTTAAGATTATGGGAAGTAAGTCCCAGCCTGGGCTTTAGCAGTTACTCAATTTAGCTTTAATTCAAATAATTATTGAAGAACAGTCCTGAGTTTCCAGTGACTGAACTCCAGTATTAAAAATGTATCAACACGTTTGCATTTTAACATAGTGTCACAAAATAAAATAGATGTACTAATTTGTGTGTAACAAGCATGATTAAAGAGCCTGAAACTTTAAATTTGATTTTTCCTAATATCAAAAACTCTGCTTTGTCCTGCATATTAAGGAGCAAGATAATGTTTGTGCACTCTGTTTTGCATATCACCTAAAGTGGGATACAGCTGCCTAAACATGGGGTGTGTGCCATTGCAAACTCTGCAGAAGTACATTAAAATGAACGGTGCTGGTTTGTTTTTTGGTTTTTTTGGTGACCATATCATTCCATAGGATTGAATACTTGAAACCAGCTCAGCCTTATACTTTTTAGTTCACTAAATCAAACTAGCTGACTTTGGCTTTTGCTGTACTACGTTCTGCTTTGGCAGAGCAAGCTCTGGGGGCATCACTGAGGCAGAAGTGAGTGATTGTACGTAAATTAAAGATACAGGAGGCATCTATAAATAACTGCAGCAGAAACTTTGGTCTACCCTTCTGTAGAATGACTTTAAAAGTATATTCAGAGAGCAGTTTTAATTGATTTGCTGAAGGAAGACATATTATATCATGTGGATCCATCCTTGTTCTAATACTGTCCATAATTGTAATTTTACAGTAGGGGATAGAAAGTATGAGCATTATACTTTATGATGATAGGAAGTCAGGAGGGACTGAAAATAACCAGAAGAAAACTAAAATCCAGAAATGTTCTTGGCAAATCAGAGATGTAGCCTGAAAAAAAAAAAAAAAAGGATCCAATGCAGAAGGTAAAAGTGCAACTACCTGCAGGGGAGAATAAATCTGAGCTACGAGAAACCAAATCAAATAGTACCTACTCAGAAGTTAGTATCTGAGGATTATTTGGATCAGAAGCTGAACACAGGTACATGAAGTCGGGCAGTATCGAATGAAAGACTTTTACTAGGATGTTTTAAAGTGGAATATTGTCTGCAACGCTAATTAAATAGTGTTGAGCTATTTGGTATTGGTAAGGCTTCAATTTAAAGGATTTTGAAAGGAGAGCGCTGAGAATGACTGGTGCTCATGAACACATAACCTTTGAGGAAGGATTCCATGAATGCAGATTACTTAGTGTAGAATCAGCTGAAAATAAATACATAAATACTCTTCAAATATGTAACGCTGCTGCAGGAAAAAAGAGAATAGTATATTTGCTCTGTCCATAGTGCATGTAAAGCAATGGGATGGAAGTGCAGCAAGGAAGATGCTGTGTAGCCGTTAGGAAAGGGTTTTTAATTTTAACGCTGTTGTTTATTATGGAAGTAATTTCCTTTTCCAGTGATCTGCACTTTTTATCCTGGTTACAGAAAATGGTATAAACTTAAGAAATACTTGCTTCATGAAAATACAGGAGATCAGAGTGTTTTTAATTATTTTACTGTTTTCTGTTAATAGCATCAATTTTATGTAAGGTATCACACTGATTTCTAATTAAGTACTGAGAACAGCAAGACAGGTTGTTTTTCAACATATATCCATGTTTGTTTATAATGGCCAGTTAATAGTGTTCTGTGATAGGACAATAAAGCTCTGGAACAGGTTGTGCAGCCTCTTTTCCTTGAGGTTTTCAAGAGCAGACATGAGCAACCTGGCCTGACTCCATAGCTGAACCCTGCTTTGAGTAGGAGGTTGGACTAGAGACCTCCTGAGGTCACGTCCAGCCTAGTTATCCAATGATTTTATGAATAGCGAACATGAATGTGATATTTTTCTCACTTGGCACATGTGTTCACATTATAAAACCCTCTTAAAAAAGGAGAACAATAAGTGATAATGTTTTGGGTTGGGTGGGTTTTTTGTGGTGGTTTTTTGTTTTTTTTTTTTTTTTTTTTTTTGGGGGGGTGGTGTTCCAAATATTGTCAGGGTGGGATGTGAATGTACATTTAATTTGGACTATGGACTAATAGTATGGACTAATAGTATGGACTAATACTGTTCACCAACATAGGTTATAGGCAGATTTCTTAAGATGTGTATATACATTCACACACTCTTGTTTTGGAGCAGCACATCTGGGGGAAACCAGTGCTTTTGCTTAAATATCTGATCACCTTTCAGGCTGATGCTCTTTTCCTCATAGAAGCTGTTGTGGAAGGCTTGTTTGGGTAGCATTGTACGTGGTTGCTTGGATGATAACTGTGTATACATTCTCTGGGACATTTTTAGCTTAGGTTTGCTGAAGCCATATGAAAGTTTATTGTCCAGTACAAATAGTTACAAAATAAATTGTTCAACATAAATTAAATCTAAAGATGTCTTCAAAATTTAAGTGCCAAAAAAAGGAGAATCTTAAAATTTGTTAGTATTAAAATTGCCATGCAGTTGTTGACCTGTCTGATCACATCTCCCTTCACCTGAGCTATGGCAATTCCCATAGCTGAAGTTCTGTCCCTGCATCTTCTAAATACAGTTTTATTTGCAAGCTGAATCCTCTTGTTTCATTTTTAAAGCCTTCTGTGTATTGCTGTTTTCTTATTACTATTTTTATTTTTTTTGACTGATTTCTTCCCAGTGTCCCAATGTAAAGCAATTACCTTCTGAAAAATAACATCAGTGTCAGCCTTTGACAGTTCATGGTGTGAAGGAGAAACAGGCACTGAAGTCAATGACACATAAAATAAAACCTGCCTTTCTGATCAGTTTGTAGATGGAGTTTCTGAGGCAGAGTTCTAACAACCAGAGATCTGTGATCCTGGTTTTAATAGCTCTGAGGAA